GCAGAGGAGAGATGAGGCTAGGGAGAGAGAGGCAAGAGAGGCAGTGGAACGGGAGGACAGGAGATTCCAGAAGCTTGTAGAGAGGGATGAGAGGCGACACAGAGAGGCGGTGGAAAGGGAGGAAAGGTTTCATAGAGAGATGAGGGAGAGGGAAGAGAGGAGGGAGAGGGAGGCAGCAGGAAGAGAGGAGCGCCTCATGGCCATCCTGGAAAAATTGTGTAAATAGTTTAGTGTAAATAGTTTTGTGTTCTATGTTTTGTGTCAGATGTGTTCAGTGTTAAATATTTTAAAATATTACATTACAAATAAAGAATTGTTAGATATATAAATCCATTTGCATTGTGTATCTTTATTCTGTTTACTTACTCAATCTGTTTTTTAACGCTAGAAAGACTGACTGGGTCAATTGACCCAGTCAGTCTTTCTAGTGTTAAAGGGAGCTTGGTTACATCAGACTCTTATCGAAAGTGACTTACATTTTTATCGAATTGTTGACAAATGTAACAAAACACACACACACAAATTTGCCAATTAGCCAAATTGTTTATTGTTTGCATTTTAAAGCATATTCTAAAGTAGGAATGATCTGGGGTACATTTAAATGTAGTCATGATCTGGGGTGTAACAGGTCATTGCCATCCTCTGTGTCTCATCGGCCCCAGAGACAGTTCCTGGAGGTGCTGGTCCTGGTGCTGGTTGGTCCACTGCCCTCCCAACATCAGCATCAGCATCTGGCTCCAGCAGGTCCCCGTTGCTCATGCAGATGTTGTGGAGCACAGTGCAGCAGACAATGACCTCTGGCACATACTTCACATCCACCTCCAGGGCCTTGAGGAAGATGGACCTCCATCTGGTCTTCAGGACCCCAAATGACCTCTCTACAACACACCTTGCCTTTGAAAGGTGGCAGTTGAATCGAGCTTGGAGGTGGTTGCAGACAGGGTGCCTGTAGGGTGTCATGAGGCAGATGGGCTGGGACAAGCAGGGGTAGCCACCATCTCCAAGGATGCAGTAACCTGGTGGGGGGTAAGACTGCTGGTAGTAGATGGGGCTGTTCTGCAGGACTCGGGCGTCATGAACTGACCCACAGTATCCCACGAAGATGTCCAGAAACCGTCCAGTGTTGTCACAGATGGCCTGCAGCTGGACTGAGTGGAACAACTTCCTATTAAAATAACAGGCAGCGTCCTCTGCAGGGGGCTTCACCCGAACGTGGCAACCATCAATGGCTCCTACCACTCTGTTGAAGGCTGCAGATCCTGCTAGACGGGCGAAGCGGGACCCCAAGCGAGGGAGTTCCTCCGCAGTGGGATGGCGGACCACTTGGGAGAGGAGAGCAGCAATCTTTGCACTCACCCTGTGCACTGCCTGGTGAATGGTTGACCGGGGCATATCGAAGGCCCTG